GACATTTTATTGGCTTTCATGTTAATTATTTCTAATTTCGTAATTTTCTATAAGTGTAATAGAGTTATTTATTATGAATTAATATTAATATTGAACAAAATGAGCAACCGATATATTTCGATTCAATATTTCAATTCGAATATTTACATAAGAATACCATAAGAAATAATTGAAATTTGTAAGGAAATAAAAATTTCCAATTTATAAATTAGTTATGTTTACATTGGATAAAACTTTTACAGAATAAATAAACGAATGTTTTTTATTTGAATAATTATAATAAATTAAAGGATAAATTATATATTTTGGTAGTTTCCTACCTTACTAAAATTTTACTGAACTTACAAGAATATATGTCGCAGTAGTCATATTAAATCCTGCAGCTCTGCACAGTTCAGTTGTAATTGTGAGACTGATCAAATACATTTAGCTGGGTCATATCACAGTTAAGACAAATTTGTTGACGCTGAACTTTTTGGAAATTGCGTTACGCGAATATTTGTGCCATTGCGTATATTCTAAAATGAAGAGACAAAAGTACGATACAGCATTCCGAAGATCGAAAAAATAGTTTACTCATTCAAAATATAATATTTATAGTAAACAAAAAATAGCAGGATTGTTTTTTTTTTTTTTTTTTTTTTTTTTTTTTTTTTTATTGTATTTGTAAAAATATGTAAATAGTCATTTTGATTTATCAAGTTTTATTTTTATGAATTTTATATTTATAAAAATTTACTTATTGATCTATATATTTTCTAAAATGATTAATATGTGTTGTAAATCTGCATCGAATGTGTCCTAAGTTCATAGATAAAGTGTTACTTCCATCGAGTTTACGATGATCTTTACATGCAACAGTTTTTTTTTTTATTTTTTTTTTTTTTTTTATAACAAATAGTTTTATTCTATTCAAATATATAATATATTTTTTCTAAACAAATAGATCAACGATAGTGTATTTCGTTGGTTCAATTTCATTTACTTCATTTTATAGGTTTATTGTGGATGTTGTATCCTGTCCTACCGTTTTATTGATTGAGTACAAGTTTTACTACTGCATCGTTCGGTCAATATTCTTTGTAATAAAATTTTAAATTTATTAAATACAATTGGATGCTATTAATGAAAAAATTATAAAAATAATATCTTATTAATTTATTACGCAAAAATTGTTTTATTGTCGAAATTATTTGAAAATTTTGTTGAATATAATATATAAAAAATATATTAATTATAAATACTTTTCTCAATGTATAAGTACGAATAAATATATTTTTATGCTTATACCCAGAAAAACACACAAACACACGCATAAAATTTTTTTTACATTATAATTTATTAGCCTCGTACGTGCATACATAGCCCCACACCCCTTCCACCACCTACGACAGATAAACGGAGAGAGAGAGAGAGAGAGAGAGAGAGAGAGAGAGAGAGAAGAATATAGAAAAATGAAAATGTTATAGTTGAAAATATTAATCACTCACACATACTCAAGGAATTTTATCATATTTTCATAAAACGGTTATTCCCATCACGTTATGAGGTCACTTTATGAACCAGTTCTAACTTTATTTAACGACAGCCGTTAAATTATGTAAAACGTATATTAACGTAACTGTAATCAACTTCTTATGAATTAAAGTTTCATATTATTTTGAGCAATCAATTTTAAGAAATGTTATGTTTTTTCAATTTTCATCGATGGACAATATAGCATGAGAGCGCGATAGTAAACAAATTAATGTAAACATATTATATTGTAGTATTAAATTAATTCCAATTCAATAACATAATATGTTTACTTTTTTTTATTTATTAATTTAATCTGTAGTTTAATCTTTTAATTATAAAATAAATAAACATCGTTTGTATATTAAATAGATTTCTTTTTTTCTTTTCTTTTTATTTAAAATAGATAATAAATCTTTACATGAAAACGGTCTTAATGTTTTATCCGTAATCATAATCTATTATTCGCATTATCGATTATATCGATTATAAATATTAAATAATATAGCACGCACGATATATACGGGGTCGCTCGTGCTTACGCAAAAACACACAATGAAAGAGAAATAATATTTACAGTGCCCGTAAATAGAGGTACTTACTCTCTTGTACTATAATTCATTGCTTATTTCTACCCGTTGTAAAGGTCAAGGTACAAATAACCTTGAAATAATTTTTTCTTTTAAATTCTCTTGGCAATTTTTGCAATCTGAACTGTATTTTTTTACATTTTCCTCTGTAATCAAAATTATGTTAATTTTCATTTTTTAATTAAAATTCTATAAATAAACGATAGCGTAATCAAATAAAAAATTCGTCATTACCAAGAGTGCTTAAAGAAATCCTAATTCATTCGAAATAAATTTATGATCGGTCTCGCAGCATCAGCCACCATTATTGGCCATTTTAATATATGAATAGCTTGGAAAGTTGAGGAGCATAAAGTGGAAATTTATGCAAGTGATTGTATTGAATAATTAATAAGATGTGCATTGACATTGGTGATTCGTACAGGTTGCCTCTTTAAGTGGCAGAAAAATTTGACTAGTGATTTCCGAGGCGTGAAACGGTGAAGTCGAGTTGAAAGTGCTCCGGTCGGGCTTTCTACTCGTCAGCACTCATTGTTCTTTTGAGTACTTATTTTAATTTCATTTTCTATTATATGGATAATGTAACATAGTATTTACGAAATCCTATAAGTATTGTGCTTGAAATACAATTACACATTGGAAAAGTATTTATTTTTTTTTTTTTATTTTATTTTATTTTTTTTTTAATTAGATCGATCTAAAAAATGTAAACGTATAATAATATTCGGTTTCCAGTGATTTGGATTACTGTGTTATAAAAAGTGTGTTTCAATTTTTTGGTGAACTAGGCTACTTTAATCCATACGATGTTAATAATAGATTTATCGAGTGGAATTTTATATGCTCGTACGTAAAATATTCACAATCACAAGTTCGTCTTTCTTCTCTCATTTAAAAAATATTTCAATGATGAAAATGAAGTTTTCAGACAATTAGGATGGAACATTGATTACGAATGATAAGGTTATGGAAATTCGTATTCGAATGAAAGGAAGAAGGTAGAATTAAGTCACCTCGTAACCTAAATAGTACCACAGTGTGTTAAATTAATTGATTAATCGTTACTTCGATTACATTTGAAAACACAATGTCAAAGATATTTTTCATTCGATGTTGAAATTACATAAATATTATAGAAATGATCGATAAATGATTTTCTTACCAAGCTTCACACTCGACGCGATAATGTAATTTTGAAATTAAAGCTTTTGTGCAATGAGAGTTGTAACGCTATGCGATGGGCCGATGGGAAAGACGTGGCGCAAGGGAAAATGCAAAAGCCCAGTGGCAATGGTGGAAGAAGTCGCAAACAGCGGGTTTCGAAGTTTGGTGAAAAATGAGCGAAAAGTCAGTCGAGAGTTCGGGGAGGAAAGTTGCGACGCGCGAGTTGTACCGAGAATTCGCGCCGAAAATGCTCCGACAGCACTGCGCCGTGAAGTCGCCATTATTACGTTGTTCTCGTTAAAGTCGCTAGCTCGTTTGGTTTGAGTAAGTCGTCGGAGAGAGAAGAGGGTGGTGGTGGCGGTGGTGGCGACGATGTGGGTGCGCGGCGCGGGAGCGAGGCAGAGAGGAAAGGAGGTAAATGGATGGAATGGGTGGGGGGAGGGGAGCAATAATGCATCGCGGTGCCGGGAGTTCGTTGCTCCACGTTGCGTCGATTGTTACGTATGCGCATCTCGCGCTGGAAGCCAGGAATTACCGATGATTAGCCGATAGATGAGCGCAGATGAATTTCAAGATTAGTCGAGAGTGGCTGTGAATTTCTCATTGATAGCGACTGCTATCAACTAGCGACTGCTCGTTAATTACTGCTGCATTGGTAATTTGATGGAAGTGGCTGTTCTGCCAATGTCGTGTCAAGATTTTTAATGTAATTTAAGTGAGAGCTGATGAAATGTCGATGAACAGGGAGGGAAGTAATGACTCGGAATATATGTTATATATTGTCGCTTATATATGTTAATTGCCACAATGGCTTAACATGGATTAATTAACATTGATCATTTGCGTTGAATTTTTAGAAAATCTACATAGTATTATCGTTCGAATTGGACACTTGATTATTTTATAATTCAAGTCGATAATAAAATAGATTAATGTACAAAAGACTCCTTGGCCTAAATTTACTTTCAACGATTGCACGATGAATAATCGGGAGTCATTCATTTATAAATTCGCAAACTATAATAACGGTCACTTTACACTGCTATATTTCGAATCCATTCGCTTTACTATTTTATTCAATTTGGTCATTACAATTCTTCGGTTGTGATGTGAAGCGAAGATGTTAGGATTTAATTAAGTTTAAATTCGCTAATCCGAGGCTGCGATAAATCTAAAAAAGCGTGTATATAAAATTCTTATTGCGTAAAGTCTATCGATAATTTAACACGGTTCCGTGAATAAGAATAGGTATTTATAAAGTATCTTATCTGTGCGTATTGAAAAGCGTTTGACACGACCAAATTTTATATTAAATCACTTTCGCTTGTAAATTATGAGCTCGAGCAGCAATTGTTTAAAGCTGCTTCAGCCTTCGACACACTTTATCAATGTAAATTTATTAACACGGATCTGAAATGTCACACCCTGCGCCAATAACACGTAATAACTGACTACTCGGCTTGAAATTATTTTTATTTTCATTGCCGTATTCTCCCTCGGCAACATTCCGGCAAGCTCCTACAACACCAATACACTCGTACAAGCACGAGCCGATGAAAAATTCATATTTACTAAAACGGTCGACAGCCGTCTACACACACGGCCCCAGGTGTGCTCATTCGGGCACGCATTATATATCCACGTGCATTATCACGTGGCAAAGAGCAATGACAGTGCAAAATTCCGATGAAACGACGAAGCCTTAATGTGTGTCTCCTGGTTGATGCGTAGGTTGCGTATTCGTTACGTAATGCCGGCGGCGCACCTGACGCTGCGCGAGGAGGACGTGGTGCGACTCACCCTCGAGTTCCTCCACGGCCGGGACCTCCACATCTCGCAGCTATCGCTCGAGCGAGAGACGGGTGTCATTAATGGCCAGTACAGCGACGACGTGCTTTTCCTGCGGCAGCTCATCCTCGACGGCCAATGGGACGATGTGCTCGAGTTCATCCAGCCCCTCGAGGCTCTGCCGGACTTCGATATGCGCAGATTTACCTATTCCATACTCAGGTGAGCACAACGTGACTTATCAATCGCCCTGCAATTTATTAACATTTTTCTTCCTCGGGATTAAAGGCTGCGGCAGCTGTTGTCGCGATAGAGAGGAGCGTAGGCTATGTTTTGTCTCTTTAAAAATATTCTTCGACAAGTATTTAACATTGCAAAGGAGATTTATTCATACGTTTTATATATTTAATAGAGTCGCTCGTACGTCTTTCGATTAAATTTTCACATATCCAATATTAGAATAAGTAAATTTACCCAATTTTCATAATACAGAGATATCGCATGACGATTGAACAATTTTTAGTGCGTTTATTTGATAAACTTCTTTATATCGTCAGGCATAAATACGTGGAGCTGTTGTGCATTAAGTCGGAGGCGAATATCTTTGGCGTGATCTCGAATGGTAGTGTCGACAATGCCGTTGAGGAGGTGGTCAAGGTCTTGAGTGACCTTGAAAAATTCGCGCCGACGAAGGAGGAGTACAGCAGCTTGTGTCTGCTGTTGACCTTGCCAAGGCTTACCGATCATCTGCAGTACAAGAATTGGAATCCGAGTAATGCGAGGGTCCAGTGCTTTCGTGAGATTCATCCACTGGTGGAGAAATTCTTGCCTGGTGATAGGAAGAGCAGCGATTTAAATCATTCGGTGACGGTCGCGAAGAACGATAGACTTATACAGCTCATTATAAAGGGTATTCTGTACGAGTCCTGCGTGAATTACTGCCAGACCAAGGCCACGGGCTCTAAGGAGAGTGAACAGGTAACAATGTTATCAGGAGCTGCATTTTTCTAATTAATTATATATATATATATATATATATATATATATATATATATATATATATAAGTAGTTTAGTTTTTAAGAAATCTTGCTTACGGAAAATATTCGAATGTAATACGATAATTGGATTCGTTGAAAAATTTGAATATACCCAGGAAGTACATGTTTAACGTATTTAAAATATAAATTTTACAAGTTAGCTAATTGCAATGTATGTTATTTTATTGGATGAATAGCCATAAAATGATCCACTTGATCAGATGAAATTTAATAGTTAGATTTGTGCTTTACTTGTCTAATATAAATTCTTAATAGTTAATTCTTGTTAATGCAAATCTATGGTTAATAAAGGAATTGAAACTAACGATGTAGAAAAATTTAATATCAAATATGGAATGTCAAAGAGAGTTGTTTTAATTTATGTAATTTGTATATTTTAATCATAATATCTATATATATTCACAAATTATTTAAAGTATTTTGCTTTTAATCGACGGTCCATCAAAATAAGATTTAACATTATATCAATAAGAGAAACTTCATTAAAATAATACTTTTTATAAGAATCTGATTAAACACTATAGCGAATAATAATAATATACAGAAATTTCTGGAGCAAGCAATTTTAATGGCAATCTTAATCCGACCAAAGACCTCCGAGGTATGGAGTATAATTGGAGTCTTTATGATTTTATAGGTGGAGATGAGCTTCTCGAAACTGTTGGATGGTTCGGTGGGTTTCAATGATTCCGACCTGAGCCTCTTGTCTTGGTTGCAGTCCATCCCCTCGGAGACGTTCGCTGTACCGTTTGCCCAACGCACCCTTAATGTCGACGTGGAACGATTGGAGAGGCCCTCCCTCGAGACCTCCTGGACCGAGCACATGCTCATCACCCCCATAAAGCCAAAGACTTTCCCCCACAGTGCAATGCCGTTTACGCGGCCGCGTTCCGCAGCTGACATGATGTCGCGGAGTCTCGTTCCTGCTCTTGAGTCCAGCTTTGGCCCCAGGAGTCCTGGACCCAAGAATATGCATATATCCTCGGCAGCTCTAATGGCACTATCCACTGGTGATATTAATCACCCGCTGATGTCCAGGAGCTCGTTTGCCAGCTTCCATCTTACGGGATTCAAAAATAATAAGCTGATGAACACGAGCGTTGATAGGTAAAGCACAGCGCTCGAGTTAATAATAGTTGTAATTGCAATGTCATTGTCTACTTAAATTCAGAATACGAGGCTTCGCACGACTATATTGTTACTTTTTTAAGCTTTACTGTCTCGCTAATCCAAGTTACGCGTTTCCTTCAATTTCACGATGAATTATTGGTACTCGTTGAAAAAGGAGGTTACACTTACTTTATAATCATGTTTGGTTCATTAGAATAAACAGTGATTCCAACATTATTATGAGCTTTTTCCTACATGTAATTTAAACTTGCTTTATCGGCATTTAATTGACTTTGAAAAGGGGGCTCGCAACATTCATATAATGTCTGTTTATTTATCTTAACTGACTTGATAGTAAATTATTATTTATTATAGGTTGTTCCAGTAAGTAGAATATGTAACTGTCATTTATAGAATTTCAGACACTCTCAGACATTATTACTTATCGTAAACACGTCGATTTATTAATTAGAGTAATTATTTTTTAAGACCACTTGAGAATCACTGCAAAAGAAGTATTAAATACTAACTAATGTAAATTATTGTATCAACAGGTTGTTTGAAAACGAAGGCGATGTGTTTCTGAGCTCGAGTTATGGCGAGTTTCAGCAGTTACCTTCGATACAGGAGACTATAAATTCAGCAAACCAGCCTAAGGTGCCACCGAGAACCAGAGGACATTCCAAGAGCCCGGAAGGTGGCCTTAAATTTCTATCTCATATTATAAATGATAGAAGCTAATTAATTGTCGGGGAAACAATGGAGCTGCGCAAAACAAAAGAGAAAAAATAATAGAAAACAAATTTCAGTGCAAAGATCTCGTTGATTATATGCAATTTTTAGGAGCATGGAAATCGGTTGCACGTATATATAATCGACTATATATTATATTAATGGCATTCTTTATTACATTCATTACGAATTGAAATTAATAAGAGCTATCTGGGATATCGTAATTAAATTTTTTATTACATGCTTTATAAAACAATTATTAATTCTTAAAATGTGCAAGTAATATTTTTAAATACATTACAAGTAAAAAAGGAATATTATTTTTATCTAATTCTTACGATGAAAATATTTATTCATTCAATTATAATTACTATTTCTAATTTATGTTTTTCAATATGCTTGTGGTAATGAATATCTAATAGTACGCAAATATCGCCCAACTACATTGCTTAATTAATTAAAAATAATTATCGTTCATTATCGAGAAAAAACTTTTTTAACATTATAATTACATTATTTACATTATTTATACAAAAATATTTAATCTTCATTATGAATGCAGACTCGCAATTACTAATGTTTATTAACTGGGATTACATAAATCTTCGTATGTACATAGATGTAAGAATGAGTCAAAATAATGTCGAAGCATCGAATATACTCAAAGTCGAAGATACATATCATGCAAAATAAGATATAAAAATTCTGTATAGGTAAATTTTATTAATTTCAGTTCTAAAAGTAGATCCATCAGCAGCATCGACGCCCGAGCGACGATTACCGGGTCGAGAATCTCCGGCGCCATCCACAGCTCGAAGCTCAAGACGCGACTCCCTTGCGGAAAAGCCGACGAACGCCATTGCAACGAAAGTAGCTGAAACTGGTCCCGTAAAACCTGGCTATGCCGGAGGCGACCACCAGCAACAACAACAGCAACAGCCACAACAGAACCTAGAGCATAGCTTCAACGGGGATCTTTTCAAGGAGTACCAGAAGCAGAAACAAAGACTGCAGGAGACGATAGAGCAGAAGGAACGTGAAAGGGACGAACTTGTGCGACAAATGTCGCTTAGACAAGCATTAAATAACAGGGTGCAAGCTGAAAGGTAAGTCTCCAGTAAGTTATTCTCTCAGACTGAGCTTTATTACCGATGATATAACTGCCCATTTAATGGCTGTCAGTTTTATCTTGTTAAAATGATTAGCATTAATTCTGTTTATATGTTTGCGATGCTGCGCGGAATGTTTAAGAGAGTGTTTTAAAAAATCAAAATCAGGATGAAGATTATAAACTCGCTTACATGTATTAATATTATATACTTGAATGATCGTAGTTCAAGAAATTTTTTACCAATAAATTAAAATTACTCCAATTAATAGTGAAACGTTGAAACTTCATAAAATAGGCTTTCACGACATTTACTTTACTACAGCATCGATATAAAAAGTATATATATATATATATATATATATATATATATATTGTAAAATTATAGAATTCTCGTGAGAATTTGGCAAGAAAGATTAAAATTTTTCTTAACGATCAATATTTACATAGAACTATTTATCTTTCGTATCTCTGCTTCCCCATTATCCTTAATCGTAGGATGCATTAGAAACTTGCTCAGTCGGTCATTGAGTTTTCTTGCCTAACTGTGTACCTTCTGCGTTGGTCCGGGAGAAAATGCTATTTGATTAGCACAAAAGATAGCGCTACCTTTGGCTACCTAATTTTAATTATTTTCAAAAAACCTGAATTATAAAATGCATTCGCGCGTCAATACTTTTTCTTAGTTATTCAAGCATTATTATTTAATTTTTATTAGTTATTAAAAAAAAGAAAAAAATTAATAAATAAATAAATTAATAAATAATATTGTCGATTTTGTTTCCACATGTTTCCCGAAGGAAATATTGAATTTTCGCATTAATTCTTTCTCGTTATGGCTTTAAGATATTGTCGAAAATAGCTACTGTATGCGGTCTAGACGTTCGCCGAGTCGTCGATGAAAATAGCAAGGTTTTCTGAGTGGAATGTCCCTAGGAAGATTGAAAGACAAGGAGAGCGAGAGTGAAATTATTTCCACTGGCGAACATTCACCTCCATCATTGCATTCCAGATACGATTAAAATGATTGCATAATGAAATACAGCGATTATAGAGTCAAATTCGGATTAATAAAAGTAAATAGAGGCGCATCGGTAAATGAGACATGCATAGCTAATAAAACAAATCCAAATTAAAGCGAATCGTAATTTAATTTAATTGAGTTAATTGTCTGTAATTTTAACTTAAAGAATACGAAAGAAGTAATATCGCTGGATATTGGCAAAGCATTGATTAAAATTTTTTGTGAAAAATGTATTATTAAAAGGGCCGACCGACGCGCAAAAGTCGCTGTAATAATAATAATAACTTTTACTTAATAAACGCATTGTATATCGTGTTTCTGGCACCTTATCTGTAAATAAACGTCCGGTCCACTCGCATCTCTATAGTGTCTTTATTAACCCGCAGACGTCGCGCGACATTAATGAATCCGTACAGCAGTGGAAGCTGGGAATTTTAGCGGCGCCTCTTATGACTTTCAGCGCGCGTGTTTAGCATCATGGCGTGGAACAAATCGCAATAGGGCCGAGCCTCTAAACGTCTCCCTGAATGGGCTAAAATTATCGCGGCGCGAAATGTCAAGTGCGCAACTCACTCTTATAATATGAATGTCCAACTATTGCCTTTCTTCCTTTCTTCCTTCTTTCCATCCATCTATCCTTCCTTCCCTCCTTTCTTTCTTACTTACTTCCAACCTTCCTCCCATCCTTCCTTCCTTCCTTCCTTCCTTCCTTCCTTCCTTCCTTCCTTCCTTCCTTCCTTCCTTCCTTCCTTCCTTCCATTCTTCCTTCTTTACTTCCTTCCCTTGCTTCGCACATCGTGTTTTGCATGACTCAGTCGAAAGATATTTGGATGTAAATTAATCAAGCGTTTATTCTTGGTGAAACTATAAAATTACATTGTACCAAACGAACACAGGAGCAAAAGCATTGAATTATTTCTGAGTAAAATATTGTAACCGTACACCTTTTTAACTCCCTTCTTAACTTATCATATAAGCTCTCTGAAATTATTGATTAATCAATTTGATTAATCGTATGCTTATTAAATTTACCATGGCAGTATAATATATACGCAATTATCTGTTTATTTGTTTATAACTATTTGTGTTAAGTAATTATAATATATTTTTATGACTACGTATGTAAATTATTTTAGTTACGAGTTTAATAATACATTATACATTTTTTTTTCTTTTTAAGAGAAGAACATTTTATCAGGCAAGAACATTAATTGTTATTTTCAATAAAAATATGTCTTATTTTTATCGTTACATGTTTAAAATATCTTATATAATATTACATACACTACTAAATTATTCTATTGATTATTAATTAAAAAGTGCAATATTTAATTTTAATTACTATGAAGTTAATAACAAGTGAAATTTATATAAATCATTTTATCATTTTATGGATCATTAAAAAATCAAGTTCGTCAAGACGACAAACAATACTGTACTAGAAATACGAGTATAATTGAAAAATATTGAAAGGATCAAATTATTGTTAAAATTTGATAAAATCACGATGAAAAAGATACAATAGTCACCACTACAACATAAAAAATCGTCGAATGTAATTAAAAATACAAATGATTCAAATTACTTTAATAATCACTCATTTTTTAATTTTAAAGATTAAAAAGTTATTTTAAACATTAATATAATAATATTTGAATACCAAAATATATTTCATACTTATAGTTATACGTAATTATAACCATTCCTAAATTTTTGATATTACAAAAACATGTAATCAAATTTAATATTTATTGCATTGAAAGACAGTTTGAAATATTCGAAATACAAAAACATTGTAGAAGCAGCAAACTATACACTATGAAAGTAAGAATACTAGAATTAGGAGCTGGTGTTGAGCCAAATTTTTATTGCTTTGCTTTTATTGCGGTTGGCCACTCTTCGTTTCGTGAAACAATGTTTTCCTGCATTATAATAATAATATTACATATATATATCTTTATTTATTTATACAATTGATAGTAATTCTAATTAATAAATATTAACATAACAATTATATATATATATATATATATATGCATAAATTATATATAAACATAAAAATATAAAACACATAAACACATGTATATATTTTGAATTTTATAGCAGATATATATGAAGTATTTATTATTATTTATAAATGAAGATAATAATAATCTTATTAAACTAATGTCGTTTATTTTTAATTTCATTTATAAAAGATGTAGACTCGTTATATTAAAGATGTATAATATATGTATAATCTTCACTTTTTGTTTTGTTGTTTTTTGCAAGGAGAAAAAAAGGATTCTCCTTTTTATTAAACTACAATTATACGACTAGATTATAAGAATTATATTATTTTGAATATAATTTTAGTTGATTGAAATTTATTCGAAGTTAATTATTTGCAATACTGACAGAATAGCTTGAATAATTATCATGCGATGATGTTTACTTCATTAATATTTTTATAATATAACATTAACTACATGTTAATACACAAACATGTTTATCAAGTTTATATTTCCTTTAGTACTTTATATTTTGAAATATCGTGTATAATTAATTAGTAAAACTCGTTTATGTTTTAAAAACTGTGAATGTCGATGACCTCAAGAGGTTATATATTATAGAGTAATAAGTGATTTATTTAACAATCGTCGTAAACATGAGAAAAAAATATGTTGATAAAAAGAAGGAACAAAGAGGAGCAAGAGGGAGAGAAAGCATAATAAAAAGACAGAGTGGGATATATACATGTTGACAGAACAATAGAAAATTTGTGCCGTTAGTGCATATATAATCATAAAGGAATAAATGTCCAATAAATGGAAGGGCATAGAGGTGCAAATGTGCGAATGTAAATGGTCAAATTAACATTCTTTAAATTAGTTTGAGGAATTTTTCGAAAAGTGTGATGTATATGTAATAAATTGCATACGTTTATTTAAATAATATGTATAGGATTTGTTATACTACTTTGACATTTTTTGTAATAATAATAAGCTCGAGCATCAATATACTTATAAAATCAGATTTCTTTAAGACAATTAATTACGAACGAGTTTCAATTGATAATGTAGTAATATCTGATAGTATTGTTTATCCAGTAGCATGTAAAAATTATTTATCTAAGCAGTCTTTAAGTATTATAAGCTGAATTCAATGTCTCTAATAATCCAATGCAAATAACTGATTTGTTTATGAACTTGGAAAATTACACGATCCCCTCACTTATGGTAAGCTTAGATGTTTACGATTTAAGCATCGGCCGAGTCCATTAGCAAGCGACAAACGTATTTACTTGTATGTTATGCGTATAATGTACGCTCTGTTGTACCATAACTTTGGACGTTTGCCCATTTGTTTTTCGCCTCTTGATTGCAATTTGTGCGCCCTGTTCACTTGATAAAAAAGCTAATTGCTCGTTATCCTCGATTTTCATTCTTCTTGGCACTTCTCTTGGACCTGATGTCTACTTCATTTGTATCTCTGAATAGTTGACAGCAAATATTTTCACAAGATATTAAAGCTTCTAGTGGAGGCATTTAAGCATAAAACTTCTACGTAAAGTTCTTATTTATCTAAAGCACTTATTTAATTTCACTTAAAGTATAAAGCCGTTTGAGAAATAATATTGAAGATAATAGAATCTTAAAATTAATTTTTCTTATTTACATAATATCAATACCTTAAGTGTTTTCTTGTTAATTATGACAAGATTTCTAGGCCTATACGTTAGATTTAAATTGTAGCATTTCCATTATTTACAAATCATTAAGTTAATACAAAATATGGTATTTTCAAATCGAGTATATACAAAATGTCATTCTTGAAATTCATATATTTATTACCTCATAAAACAGTCGCCTTTTTCAAAGTAATCAAATCACAATTTGCTATGAAAATTAGCCGGTGCATTCATCTTTTTTATTCATTTGCTCAATTTAATCTAAAGAATGGAAAAAAGAAAATCATCAGCTAATAATATTGAA